CGAACCCAATTAGTAGATTACAAAAACTGTGCCAACCTTGACGTACAAGTAGAACGCAAAGTATAACGTAGAGTCCGTTGTTGAATGACGGTGAATATCAACATCATATTAAACACTTTTCCTCAACATGAAAGTGAGCCGAAAAAATTAAAAGTTTCATTTTCACGGGATTGGGGCTTGTGGATAGACCTTCATCACTTGCCTCCGATGACGTCAGATTCACACAACCCGAAAATGCCTCTCTTTGTGTTCAAGAGGTGCACACAGTTCCTTTGTCTCTGAACCTCAAGCTGGAGGGCTTGACACCTCGTCGAACCGACCTCATTTTCAACTGAAAATTCAGTCAACGTTGGTCACAGAATGTGATTTAAGGTCTGATAGTCAAGTTTTTTCCACAATGAAACGAGCAGCTATCACAACACCATTGCATTTCACATAACCCTGCCTCGTGAAAAGGTTTGCCAATCCTGACCGGACTTGGGATTCGGACCTACGATCGTGGCAACACAACCAGCCGAAAAAATACAACAAGTTTTGGCGTCAATCGGTCACAGTGCAAGCCATGGCTCTCTCAAATCACACTATTAGTGTGACAGTTTCCCGTTGCGATCACGTAGATTCGGTATGGGTGTTTTACAAATATCACAAAATGCTGGATAAGATCTTGCACAAGTACAAAAATGCATAGGCACTGACAAACACCCTCCCGCCTATTATATGTAACGTAGTTGATTGTAAGTATAAACACACATTTATATGATATGCTTTCACTCGGTTCCAGTCACACTATACTTTTTTTCGTTGTCAAGACTACCGGAAGATCTGATCTAAGAGCTATATTTACTTTAATTGGGTTAAGCAATGAAGGACCGGTAGATGAAATTGCATTCCAGTTCAATTGGGATAAGAATACCTTTTGGGAGGCAGGATTGTGTGAAATCTACCTGTCGGATTGTGGTGAAATGCAATCGCTAATCTCGCATCATCTTAAACGAAATAGGCTGGATACAGCTGTTATATCGGACCTACTGTTGGCACCGAAAACCAACTTATAAAGGAGAAAAATGCATTCTGTGACTGAAGCCGAGTGAAATGAGTCAATCTGTATGATAGGAAACGGAGTTTCGGTACCTGCCTGATGGGAGGGAGAGAGGCAAAGTAAACAAGCTGGTGAAATGATAACCGATCAAACTGGGCAAAAAAGAAGACACACCTCTGGCAGAGTCGTATGAAAACAAGCGAGAAGTTGTAATGCTGAAGCAATGAGATGCGAGGATAGATAGATAGATGTGGGTAGATGCCGCAGGGGGGTGGGAGGAGTGATGACGAAACCGACGGTAGCAGAGTTGGTCAAGGGTTGGTGTTCACGTGTCCTGTTGACCAATTGTGGCCATACCGATCGACGATGCCGGCAAACAGTCAGGCAGTGCACCGGGAAAGCAGCCTGATTATCGCGTCCCAATTGGTCACCATGACAACAGGACAGTGGCGAAAACGGAGTCGCGGAAGGAGATTGCGACCAAAATAAGGGGCCACAACATGTTGGTCGTCACACTTGCGGTTGGTTAAAGTGTCTACTTGCATAGACGCTCTTTTTAATTATGTTTACATGTGGAGTGTTTTGCATCGTCCTACTTCGTCTCATGTAGCAGTCACATGTTCGGCCAGTTCCGGTGAAACCGGTTGAAGTATGATTTCTTGCTTGAACAAGAAATCCACAGCCACAACTGACCGTAGACGACTTGCTTTCGGTTGTGGATCAGGCCACAGAAAGAGTCAAACTGGCGAGAGCAGTAGTTGTCATACATTGTGTGCTTGTGTGCCAGTGAAAGGTCATGGTTGTCGTGATGGTGTGAAGGATCAGTTGGCGGAAGAGACGACTTGAAGGTGAATCTAGGCATCGCGCGGTGGGGCAGTGGTTGGCTCGCCGAGCGGAAGCGGCGCATTGGAAGAGCAGAGGCAGAAAAGGTGTCAAGTTGGTCTCGTGTTTGTGTTCAAGTGGAATGGTGTGAAGGGGCTGTGGCCAGCGAAAAGCTGGGCTGTATGGTCGGGTTTAACGTCGAGGCAGGCGGACGCAGCTGCGAGGATTCGAACAAGCAAGCAGCCGCAACGAGCGGGAAAGTAGCCTCGAACGGAGTGTCCGTGGAGAGAATGAGTTGTAACCACGGCCAGCGGGACAACTCAACCCTGACGACACAGACCAATGCGACCGGTGTTGTAGCATGGTGTGATGTGATGTGATGTTATGTGATGTGCTGCAGTATGATGTAGTGACGTATAGTTTGGTGTGGTTTGATGTGGTTTGTGCAGTGTGAAGTGGTGGAGTGTAGTGTGGTGTTGTATTGTGTGAATTGATGTGGTGTGGTGTGAAGCGGTGAAGTATGATGAGGTGTGATGTGTTGCGGCGTGGCGTAATGTGGTGAGATGTGGTGAGGTGCTGGGAAAATTGGTTTAGTGTGCTGAGGTGAGATGGCATATTATTTAAAATGGTTTAGTGTGGTGTGGCATAATGTGGTGTGGCTTGGTATGGTTTGGTTTGATGTAGTGTGGTGTGGTGAGGTGTTGTGTGAAATGGTAAAGTGTGGTTTGGTGTAGTGACGTGGGGTGTAATGTGGTGTAGTGTGATGTTGTGAGGTTTGGTGTTGTGTGAATTGGTGTGGTGTGCTTTGTTCTGATGAGTTGTTGTGTGAAATGGTATAGTGTGAAGTGGGTTAGGGTGGTATAGTATAGTGTGGCTTGGTGTTGTTTGGTTTGATGCTGTCTCGTGTGGTGTGGTGTAGTGTGATGTTGTGAGGTTTGGTGTTGTGTGAAGCGGTCAAGTATGATAAGGTGTGATGTGTTGCGGTGTGGTGTAGCATAGTGTGGTATGATATAGCGTGGCTTGGTAGGGTTTTGTTTAATGTGGTGTAGTGTGATGTAGTGTTATGTGGTGAGGTGTGGTGTGATGTGGTGTTGTGTAAATTGGTGTAGTATGCTTTGCTGCGGTGGGGTGCTGTGTGAAATGGTATAGTGTGAAGTGGTTTAGTGCAGTGTGGTATAGTGTGGTTTGGTGTGGTATGGTATAGTGTGGCTTGGTGAGGTCTTGATTAATGTGGTGTAGTGTGGTGTTGTGGGAATTGGTGTAGTATGGTTTGGTGTGGTGGGGTTTTGTGTGAAATGGTATAGTGTGGTGTGGTGTGGTGTTGTGTGAATTGGTGTGATGTGCTTTGTTCTGGTGAGGTGTTGTGTGAAAGGGTATAGTGCAAAGTGGTTTAATCTGGTGTGGTATAGTGTGGCTTGGTGTGGTTTGGTTTGATCGGGTGTAGTGTGGTG